ACAAACACATGCTACTACTAACACATGCTACTACTAACAAACACATGCTACTACTAACACATGCTACTACTAACAAACACATGCTACTACTAACACATGCTACTACTAACAAACACATGCTACTACTAACACATGCTACTACTAACAAACACATGCTACTACTAACAAACACATGCTACTACTAACACATGCTACTACTAACACATGCTACTACTAACACATGCTACTACTAACAAACACATGCTACTACTAATAAACACATGCTACTACTAACAAACACATGCTACTACTAACACATGCTACTACTAACACATGCTACTACTAACACATGCTACTACTAACACATGCTACTACTAACAAACACATGCTACTACTAACACATGCTTCTACTAACACATGCTACTACTAACAAACACATGCTACTACTAACAAACACATGCTACTACTAACACATGCTACTACTAACAAACACATGCTACTACTAACACATGCTACTACTAACACATGCTACCACTAACACATGCTACTACTAACAAACACATGCTACTACTAACACATGCTACTACTAACAAACACATGCTACTACTAACACATGCTACTACTAACAAACACATGCTACTACTAACAAACACATGCTACTACTAACACATGCTACTACTAACAAACACATGCTACTACTAACACATGCTACTAGTAACACATGCTACTACTAACACATGCTACTACTAACACATGCTACTACTAACACATGCTACTACTAACACATGCTACTACTAACAAACACATGCTACTACTAATAAACACATGCTACTACTAACACATGCTACTACTAACAAACACATGCTACTACTAACACATGCTACTACTAACACATGCTACTACTAACACATGCTACTACTAACAAACACATGCTACTACTAACACATGCTACTACTAACAAACACATGCTACTACTAACACATGCTACTACTAACACATGCTACTACTAACAAACACATGCTACTACTAACAAACACATGCTACTACTAACACATGCTACTACTAACAAACACATGCTACTACTAACACATGCTACTACTAACACATGCTACTACTAACAAACACATGCTACTACTAACACATGCTACTACTAACACATGCTACTACTAACAAACACATGCTACTACTAACAAACACATGCTACTACTAACAAACACATGCTACTACTAACACATGCTACTAGTAACACATGCTACTACTAACACATGCTACTAGTAACACATGCTACTACTAACACATGCCACTACTAACACATGCTACTACTAACACATGCTACTACTAACACATGCTACTACTAACACATGCTACTACTAACAAACACATGCTACTACCAACACATGCTACTACTAACACATGCTACTACTAACAAACACATGCTACTACTAACACATGCTACTACTAACACATGCTACTACTAACACATGCTACTAGTAACACATGCTACTACTAACACATGCTACTACTAACACATGCTACTACTAACACATGCTACTACTAACACATGCTACTACTAACAAACACATGCTACTACTAACACATGCTACTAGTAATACATGCTACTACTAACAAACACATGCTACTACTAACACATGATACTAGTAATACATGCTACTACTAACAAACACATGCTACTACTAACAAACACATGCTACTACTAACACATGCTACTAGTAATACATGCTACTACTAACACATGCTACTACTAACACATGCTACTACTAACACATGCTACTACTAACACATGCTACTAGTAACACATGCTACTACTAACACATGCTACTAGTAACACATGCTACTACTAACACATGCCACTACTAACACATGCTACTACTAACACATGCTACTACTAACACATGCTACTACTAACAAACACATGCTACTACTAACACATGCTACTACTAACACATGCTACTACTAACAAACACATGCTACTACTAACACATGCTACTACTAACACATGCTACTACTAACAAACACATGCTACTACTAACACATGCTACTACTAACAAACACATGCTACTACTAACACATGCTACTACTAACAAACACATGCTACTATTAACACATGCTACTACTAACAAACACATGCTACTACTAACACATGCTACTACTAACACATGCTACTACTAACAAACACATGCTACTACTAAAACATGCTACTACTAACAAACACATGCTACTACTAACACATGCTACTACTAACAAACACATGCTACTATTAACAAACACATGCTACTACTAACACATGCTACTACTAACACATGCTACTACTAACACATGCTACTACTAACACATGCTACTACTAACACATGCTACTACTAACACATGCTACTACTAACACATGCTACTACTAACACATGCTACTACTAACACGTGCTACTACTAACAAACACATGCTACTACTAACACATGCTACTACTAACACATGCTACTTCTAACACATGCTACTACTAACACATGCTACTACTAACACATGCTACTACTAACACATGCTACTACTAACAAACACATGCTACTACTAACACATGCTACTAGTAACACATGCTACTACTAACACATGCTACTAGTAACACATGCTACTACTAACACATGCCACTACTAACACATGCTACTACTAACACATGCTACTACTAACACATGCTACTACTAACACATGCTACTACTAACACATGCTACTACTAACAAACACATGCTACTACTAACAAACACATGCTACTACTAACACATGCTACTAGTAATACATGCTACTACTAACACATGCTACTACTAACACATGCTACTACTAACAAACACATGCTACTACTAACACATGCTACTAGTAACACATGCTACTAGTAACACATGCTACTACTAACACATGCTACTACTAACACATGCTACTACTAACACATGCTACTACTAACACATGCTGCTACTAACACATGCTACTACTAACACATGCTACTACTAACACATGCTACTACTAACACATGCTACTACTAACAAATACATGCTACTACTAACAAATACATGCTACTACTAACACATGCTACTAGTAACACATGCTACTACTAACACATGCCACTACTAACACATGCCACTACTAACACATGCTACTACTAACACATGCTACTACTAACACATGCTACTACTAACAAACACATGCTACTACTAACAAACACATGCTACTACTAACAAACACATGCTACTACTAACACATGCTACTACTAACACATACTACTACTAACACATACTACTACTAACACATACTACTACTAACACATGCTACTACTAACACATACTACTACTAACACATACTACTACTAACACATGCTACTACTAACACATGCTACTACTAACAAACACATGCTACTACTAACAAACACATGCTACTACTAACACATGCTACTACTAACACATACTACTACTAACACATACTACTACTAACACATACTACTACTAACACATACTACTACTAACACATACTACTACTAACACAAACACATGCTACTACTAACACATGCTACTACTAACACATGCTACTACTAACACATGCTACTACTAACACATACTACTACTAACACATGCTACTACTAACACATGCTACTACTAACACATGCTACTACTAACACATACTACTACTAACACATGCTACTACTAACAAACACATGCTACTACTAACACATACTACTACTAACACATACTACTACTAACACATGCTACTACTAACAAACACATGCTACTACTAACAAACACATGCTACTACTAACAAACACATGCTACTACTAACACATACTACTACTAACACATGCTACTACTAACACATGCTACTACTAACAAACACATGCTACTACTAACACATGCTACTACTAACACATGCTACTACTAACAAACACATGCTACTACTAACACATGCTACTACTAACACATGCTACTACTAACACATGCTACTACTAACACATGCTACTACTAACACATGCTACTACTAACAAACACATGCTACTACTAACATATGCTACTAGTAACATATGCTACTACTAACACATACTACTACTAACACATGCTACTACTAACACATGCTAGTACTAACACATGCTACTACTAACACATGCTACTACTAACAAACACATGCTACTACTAACAAACACATGCTACTACTAACAAACACATGCTACTACTAACACATGCTACTACTAACACATACTACTACTAACACATGCTACTACTAACACATGCTACTACTAACAAACACATGCTACTACTAACACATGCTACTACTAACACATACTACTACTAACACATGCTACTACTAACACATGCTAGTACTAACACATGCTACTACTAACACATGCTACTACTAACAAACACATGCTACTACTAACAAACACATGCTACTACTAACACATGCTACTACTAACACATGCTACTACTAACAAACACATGCTACTACTAACACATGCTACTACTAACAAACACATGCTACTACTAACACATGCTACTACTAACACATGCTACTACTAACACATGCTACTACTAACACATGCTACTACTAACAAACACATGCTACTACTAACACATGCTACTACTAACACATGCTACTAGTAACAAACACATGCTACTACTAACAAATACATGCTACTACTAACACATGCTAATACTAACACATGCTACTACTAACAAACACATGCTACTACTAACACATGCTACTACTAACACATGCTACTACTAACACATGCTACTACTAACACATGCTACTAGTAACACATGCTACTACTAACAAATACATGCTACTACTAACAAATACATGCTACTACTAACAAATACATGCTACTGCTAACAAATACATGCTACTACTAACAAATACATGCTACTACTAACACATGCTACTACTAACACATGCTACTACTAACACATAGTTAACAGTTACAAGATTCCCCCAAGGTAGTCTACAAGTTAGCAGAATTCATAACCATCCCACTAACCTTTTCCCAGTGGTGACAAATGAGTCTGACATGGTGTACTTGGCTTTCTCCTTCTGAACCAACTTGACCTCTCTGGCTTCCACTATACTGGCAGTCCTCATCCTTCCTACATTGCTGACATTGCTGTAGTTGTAGGTGCTATGGCCAGTGGGTGACAGCGGTGGCGTGGTCTGAAAAGCTGCAATCCCTGAGGAGCCGGAAAGCCGGGAGGCGGTGGTACTCTCTGAAGTCTCTGATGAATCTTAGAGATGCAATACAGATTTTTTTTTAAATCAAAATTATGAATAAGTGAAATGTGCAGACTAAAAGAAAGCCAATATTTGTTGAAAATCCCCATGTCGGCTCTGGGGCCACGTTGTGAGAAAGCAAGAATAGACCCGCTGTCTCCCCCATGTTGTAAGAGTCAACCAACTGGGGGCTTCCTTTGAAGTTGGAGTGCATGTGCCTGAGAGACAAGGAACCAACAACCTGCATACAAACAAGTCAGATCTGTAAAACAGATGTGCTCACAACAATCAGATTCTGGAACAAGACTAGAGTCTAGAAGTGGACGGACAACCATAACTTTCCATCACAGTTTACAGCCATTGAAAGCGAAGAAGAAGAAACATCCTATAGCAAATACTGTTGTGGGATGTGAAATGTTTACCCTTCTAGCTAATATGATATCAACAAGTTCAATAAAGGAAAGGAAAAATGCACAAAACATTTCAGATGACATTTTATTTGTTGTTCTTGTTGTTCAAGTCTGGGTAGTCAGTTCCCTTCCTCATCACTTTGAATTAAATTAAAATTCGGTGCCATCTCCAACACAAAGGTTGGGTACAGCGCACCCGCAGCTGTCTGTGGGATTATTATGAGGTATGACCCCAGTCTCTTCCACGGTTACGACTCTCGTACTACTCTTCAAAACTAAGAGAGCAGTTTGTGTGTGTGTGTGTGTGTTTGTGTGTGTGTGGCTCTTAATTCTTTGGTCATAACTTAAGGCGAAAACTCTGTGTTGGTGGGAAAGCTGTGGGGGGGGGGGGGGGTGGGAGCAAAGAGCGATCGACACAGAAGATGCCTGACAGATTGACATTTGGCACAGAAGATCCTCTTGGTCATAAATTACTGAAAGTACATGAGACAGAAGGTTTGTGGACAGATATTACTATCAACAGCAACAATAACCACAACAAGACGAAGACAAAGAATAAGATAAAGATGAAGGTGGAGGAGGAGGAGAAAGAACAGCCATATTTTTTTTTTAAAGTCCCAAATCGCAACATATTCAGCAAACAGCAATTGGATCAGTCAAAAGGCACTTAAAACTGTTTTGTTATGAGAACACGTGAAGTGGGTTATCAATGATCTGCTGTAAGGAGATCAACTGCTCTATGTTCCTGATGAAGCTGAAACAATAAGGAATAATAATATATGATTCATACGTCCCACGGGAGACGCCTTGGGAGACATGGCAGAATAGTGGCTAGGCTGCTGCCCTAAAAGTCTAGGGTTCAAATCCACATTGAGGCAGATTTTTCTTTTCAAACTAACCTCAGCTCACAGACTAACTCAAACTAAAATGAATACCAGAGAGTATCCTGGGAAGCAAAGGCATCAGACATTATGTCCACGTCACCTATTGAGTGCCATCTGGTGTATACAAATATAGATCTAGCACTGTAAACCTGATGTGCCAAAAGCTGAAAAGGGTCCTTTACTTTACTTACCTATTGCCTTGAGAAATCGGACAAGATCCCTACACAACTCCCATGAACCTTTCTCCAATGCTGAATCAAGGAGAATAGTCGCATGCTGAAAATATACAACAAATGCCATTAAGAAAACAAATAACAAATCAGCAAGATAAAAACAAAAAGGGGACGATGGCTGTCCAGCAATAATGTCTCTCATAAATTTCCCAAAATATCTAACATTAAAGAGTGGAGAAGTTTGGTCAACAGTAGATCAAGAGACAGCAGACTTAAAAAAAAAAATCCTAATTTAACCAAGAAAACAAATATGGTAAAAACTGTTGCAACCTGTCTTTGATATCTTTTAAAGCTGTGTTTCTGCAAAGCTTTTGATTGACTGATTGGTCCCTTTTCGTCTTTCCCGACGATAGAGTTAAATTGTGCTATGAGGCGCGATGGGACTCACAGCCCATGGCGATGGCGAGTATGACAAGCAAGATCAGCCTGCGTTAAGAAAAGTCTTCCACAATTATAGCATGGGGTTTCAGGACCATTGTTGTCATCATCTGGGTTAGTCTGTTTCTTCTCAGACGCGTAGCTCTATTTTTTCTGCAATTATTTCTTCCTTTATTCCCCTTCACTTCCTGATGTGCCCCTTCCATATAACACAGTCCATGGCATTTTATTCCCACGAGTCCATCTCAATTCCTGTATCATTCATGTCCCATTTGCACACATCTTTATACAAGGTATCAGTAGAGGTCAACTTCGATATCTTCTACCCGTCTTTAATCCAGGTGTGACCCAGCCACTTGAGCCTCTGTAAACTGAGCAATTTCTGCAAGTAAACCTGAGGAAAATACATTTCCTACACTACCATCTTCAAGGGATATTGTACAGTGCAGCCAAGGCTTACAAGCAAAAGACAGCAGACTTTCCCGCCAACAAATAAACCTAATGGAGAAGATGTTTCCTACATCATGTGCTTTGAGAAAAAAACTTTACAATGCAGCCAAAACTCTTAAGGCTTCAATAAAGAACCCCAAAACCAACCTAATTGAGAAGAGACTTAATATCCTCATCACAGATGGAATCCAGTACAGTGCCCTTGGCCTTTCCCAGCAACATTCGTCTCAGAGTTTCTCGTAGACACCATTCCCCCCACAAACAATTTGTTTCCCATTTAATTGCTTGTTTGATGATTTTTCTGTCCATTTCACCTCTTGATGTTCCCAAAATACTGCCATCTTCTTTTGTTTTTTCTTTTTTTCTGTAGAACATCATGTGTTTCAAGGAAACACTACAATGCAACCCAAACTCTCAAGACTTCAACAACAAAACAAATATCTCAGAGAATGAACATGGTACATGAATAAACAAAGGTTGTACAACCTGTCTGCTGATGATAGGTTTCTCCAGGTTCTGAAGAATGATGAGGTAAGTAGCAGCTGTTTCTAAGTCTCCATTCATCAAACACTCCTGCAGAAACATGAAGGTACATTGGTAAGTTTTACCCCACCAGGACATCACACAAGCGACAAACACCAGGTGACACAAAGTGCCACCATACAGATAAGGATCACCCGTGTGGAGGTCCCGGAAACCCTGTTCAGCCACTAGGCCATATTTAAGGCCCAACTATATTTACATGAAGCAGATGCCCATAGCCTTTATATCTTTATCTTTACAGGAAACAAGTGTACACACAAATAAACCCACTAAAATCATCATTATTATAAAGTGCCTTGCAAACAGTATAAATCAATGTGTATGCAAGACACTATCCATGAAATGACAAAAGAATCTTCTCTCACTGTCTTCTTCTATCGTTCTATAAATCTATCCAGTTGATAGTGTACTTCAATGAAATGACAAAACAATCTTCTTTCACTGTCTTTTTCTATCTTTCTATAAATCTTTCCAGTTGATAGTTTACTTTACATGAAATGACAAACTAATCTTCTCTCACTGTCTTTTTTCTATCGTTTTCTATAAATCTATCCAGTTGATAGTGTACTTCAATGAAATGACAAAACAATCTTCTTTCACTGTCTTTTTCTATCTTTCTATAAATCTTTCCAGGATAGTTTACTTTACATGAAATGACAAACTAATCTTCTCTCACTGTCTTTTTCTATCGTTCTATAAATCTATCCAGTTGATAGTGTACTTCAATGAAATGACAAAACAATCTTCTTTCACTGTCTTTTTCTATCTTTCTATAAATCTTTCCAGTTGATAGTTTACTTTACATGAAATGACAAACTAATCTTCTCTCACTGTCTTTTTCTATCGTTCTATAAATCTATCCAGTTGATAGTGTACTTCAATGAAATGACAAAACAATCTTCTTTCACTGTCTTTTTCTATCTTTCTATAAATCTTTCCAGTTGATAGTTTACTTTACATGAAATGACAAACTAGTCTTCTCTCACTGTCTTTTTTCTATCTTTCTACAAATCTATCCAGTTGTCACATATTTTAAGTTTTTCTCTCTGTACAAAGTGGATGGCCCCCCCCCCCCCCACCCCCCTAGTGGGTTCCTGTGACACATTTTAGGGAAATAAAGAATACTCATGCCCCCTAACACCCATATTGTCAAAGACAATAATGATGGCTGCCTTTGCTTCTGAGAACATTTCCTCACAAACATGTTCAGAGTGTATCCCTGTCCCAAGTCTGGGCCATCATGCTGTCCCAGGAGGACATCATACTCCACCTGCCTTAAAAAGTGAACTCGCAGAAGGGCGAAAGTTAACAATTTCCAGGTAAGTGCCTTGACTCTTCATACTTTCTTTCAGTACCTGAATTTACCACTTTTGCAGTGTAGACAGAGGGTCTCTGAGCATGAAGATTTAGGGCCATATGTCTAGGGCTATCACCATGGACTGTTAGGATTATATTTTAGTCCCTGACAGAAAAAATCCCTAACCTTATAGACGATTTGAAACCAAGCCTCCCGCTTGAAAGCACAGTGTTCTAACCGTTCGGCCAGCCATTCCTTTACTTCTTTATTGGAGAAAAAAAAGTGACAAATTTTTCAACCACTCTTTTCTAATATAGTTTTACCATGCAGCTATCAAAGTCTTATGTGCTCACCTCAAATAAATCTTTAGGGTTTCCAACAGTGGAGAACAGGTAAGGCCAGAGAGCTACCTCAGTCTTCCTTGCACAGTAGACAATAGTTTGAAGGAATTCTGGAAACTCCTGAATAAATGCAACCACTCTTGGTAGCAAGGGATCTGCAAAAGACACACAGAGAAATAATGTCTTCTCTGAGAAAGCTGGAAAAATGTGTTTTGTTTTACACTGTCGCTATTAATTTTTAAAAATAAATCTGTAAGAGACACAAAGAGAAATGTCTTTTCTAACTAAGCCAAACAAAACAGTAACTTTTTCGCTGCTGCTTTTTTTTTAAACAAAATAATAAGCCAAGCTAAGAAAAAGACTTAAAAGTTACTTTAAAAAAAAAGGGAAAAAGCTACTCCAAAACAATATGAAAAAAAAAAAGACAACAGAAAAAGACAAAAATAGAAAAGCTCTTCTCTGTTGTGAGCACCGGGTATAAACTCTGCTGGAAAGTTCTGGCTGTTCGTCCACTTCTAGACTTTAGTCTTGTTCCAGAACCTGAGTTTTGCGGTCACATCCATTTTAAATATGGCTTATTTGTATTCAGACTTTCTTGTCTCTCATGCAGATGCACTCCATCTTCGAAGAACCTCTTATTTAGGTGGCTCTTGTGACGGTCTTGTTCAGGAGGCAGTGGGTCCCCCCTCCCACCCCCCACAACACGCACGCACACACATACACACACACACACACACAGGCAAAATGGGGCCGCAGGATCCACATGGGGAAAAAATAAATTAATATTTACAGCGTGTGTGGTTCTGGTATAAACACATTTGTGCTACAGAATTGGTGTACTGAGCTGAGATTCTCCTTGTGTGATCTATGTCACAAGAATGAAATGCTGTGCAGTGAAACTGATCATTCATAAAGCAAAGCAAACCAAATAAACATAGAAACTTATTCAAACATGAAATGAGTTGGTCTGGCTGAAAATGAGTAATTCCTGAATCATCTGGATCATTAAGTTTCAAATATAAAGGCTGATGTGTTGACATTCTGGTCATTTTGGCACTGAATCAATCAGGTCAGCTTAGTGTAGAGTACAGACTTTCAACTTGACCCAGTACCAAAGTACTAACATCACTGACACTTGCTGCTATGCTCTCCCTCTTCTTCTTCTTCTTCTTCTCCTTTTTCTGCTTCTTGATATTGAGACATACTGTCTACAAGCCAGCCACCCTCCATATGCAGCTCATAAAGAATTTAAGTAATTTTCCTCTTCTCTGTCCATAACATTCTAAGAATCCTCCTGCACCATTCAAGTTCTGCTACATAAGAAAGGAAACATAAACGCATCTAAACCTTACCTGGTATAGGTTCCTTTGATGTGGCTTCAGCCTCCAAGACCTCATGTAGGAGTAGTTCTAACACATGAGGGAAATAAGTCAGCTCTTTACAACTACGAGCTAAATCCAGGGCATTCACCCCAAGGCTGCAGGGAAGAGAGGTAACTCTTATAAACTTACTGGTTTACTATGTGTAATCAATTAAGCCCTGTAGGTAACACATTTACATGAGTGTAATCAAATGTATGAATTATTGTTAGTCATTCTCAAAACATTCCGGACACATCCGTGGGTGGTAGGATGCCTCCCTCAACATAAAGGCCTACGCTCCATTAGGAAACGAGAGACAGAAGAGAAAAATAAGAAAATTTAGAAGATATCTACCAAAAAAAGATAATGAGGCACTCTAATGACCTTCAGATGGGGTTAGGGGACAGTAGCAGAGGAATGAGAACTACCCGGAAGCTAACACATCACATCACTACAGAACAGTCGTGTTACCAAAGGAATCAACCCATCCCATAAATTATTTTACCTTTACAGAACAAAACTGAATATTACTTACTTTCCCCAAAGTAAAACTAAGATACACTTAGTTTATCCTAAGTAAAACTATGATACACTTACTTTTCCCTAGTAAACATACATTTACATTCTCCTAAGTAAAACTAAGATACAATTAAATATTATTTTCTGCTGAAGTGAACACAAATGCAACTAACAATCACTTACTTTCTCCTGAGCAATTGTCTGAGTATATGATGAAGATAAATTTGACTCTGAAATTAAATTTAAAAGTAACCATTATATATGATCATACAGTCCTTCCTTCAACAACAAACACATTACTAATCTATCAAACCCTTTAGCTATTTTGAGCAAAGAGACAGTATTCATCATTAATAAGCAAGGCCTCTACATAACGTCGCTCTAATCACGGCACGCCTGAAAGTATCACTTTCCCTAGTCAGCTCTCCAGCCCCATGTGCTTTCATTGCCAATGCATCTTCAATGTCCTGTATCCATCTTGACAGGGGTCGACCCCTGCCTCGCCTTCCACAAACAGAACTCTCCATCACCATTTTTTTCAAGCCACCATGATGTTTGATGTGGCCAATATACTTCAACTTTTGTGACAGGATGCTGTTTATGAGCAGTATTACATAGGGAAAAGACAACTGACATTTTTTTTATCACACTCTAAAAAAGAGAGTCTGCAGAACATTGTAACTACTTCATTGACAGGGGATGCTGATGATTTATCAAGAGCACTAGGGTCACTGAGGCTACAGGACTAGGATCAAGTCTTGCAGTGGCCAAGACTTTAGAGCAAAACTAGTTATAATACAAAGAAGATGGCACTAGATAGCACTATACTGGAGACATCTTGAGATGAAACGAGCAGAGAATCACCAAACAAGCACTAGTTGGACAAAGCATTGAGGAAGTACAAAAGAAACCCTAAAATGAACACTGATGAGAGAGGCTATAATATGCTGGACTAGATTCCATCCATAATTGAAAGCACTGCACAGGATAAAATGGAAGTGATGAACAGACTGGGAGCCCTATGTGACAAATAACGGCACAACAAATGATAGCTGTGGAGTCATATTCCTACAGTGGTTTCTAGACCCCATCTAAAAGTCTAAGGATCACCAAGCTTTCCTTTGGATGTGAATGAAGTTCTGTCACCAGTCTTGCACATCAAATTGGTTGCTGCATTTGGAGAAAGGAAGAGGAGGTAGCCATGACATTTCCTGTGAGATAACATTTAGTAGATTTGGTTTTTTTTAAATGCAAACTGTTGGTTCCTCGCTGTTTAGGCAGATGTGCTCCGACTTCAAAATAAACATCATTGGGTTTATTCTGTTATCTCCACAATGGGGCCCTGGAACCCGCACTAAGAATGTTACTTCATAAAAACTCACATATTCTTTCACAAAATAATGTGTGAAAAATCAACTCACAGTTCGTTCTAATGTACAAAATGGCATATCTGTGTGGTGTTGAGCAGATGAGGACATGGTATATGAGACGACATCACATGCAGCTCCCAAAATAACAGCATCTTCAAAAAGTACAGCTGTGGGGGAGGGGGAACCATTTCAGACAATTATCAACAAGCTGGACAAAACATTTCAACAGCAGTTACAATTATAAGTGTACGCCAGTCCTGATATTTCAAATGATTAAAAAAAATTAATGGATCAATTTATTTATTTTCTTCTTCTTTCGTTCGCTTGAAATAGATTATATATATATTTGCAATGTTGTCTCTAATATGATATTCACTGTCTTTTGTAATTCACTCAGTGACTTGTAAAGTTTGGCTTGCACAGATATTTCTCTTGGCTAAAAGTTTTGCCTTGATATGTTGTATTTGGGAGTCTTGAAGGACGTGCTCTGTTGTCTCAGATGCCAATTCCACATATGCACGTCTGATTTGCCAATTTTAAATTGTATGCACATGTGGCTGCAAAGACAACTGTGGCCTGTTCTAAGTCGTAGAATAACTTGCTCTGGTCTGTCCATAATATGGTAATCCTCTTGTGCCGGTTTTGGTGGCTTTCTGATTGATTTGATTATTCTCTTCTTCCGTTGATACGAGACTGGTACGTCAGGTTGTTCTTAATTTACACCTTCCTTTGCAAGTTTATCAGTTATTTCATTTCCACAGTGGGGTGGTATCCAATGCATAGTTACCTTATTTGGTAACAAAATCTAGACATTATATATGTATTAATGAAAGAATAAACAAACTATTATGTCTCAAACTGTGTTATTTAAAGGCCAATGAAAAGAATAATTAAAAAAACAGTGTAACCTGCTTTAGTGAGCATGAAAGTTATCTGTCTTGTTCAAGCACTCAGGAGAGGGAGTATTTTGGACATATCCATCTGCAACTTTCTATAGTCTGTATATAGTGGGAAGTGATGAGTGCTGGCAGCCCTTGCACTACTACACATGTTGGAATTTTGTCTTCTTGGGAGAACTTTCAGTACACATATGATGTTTAATTCCTTGCATGCCTGGCGAGTTAGCTATGTTGGTTAAACCAGCTGCGCAGAGACCGGGTGACAAACTCCTTGTGGTCTGAGTTCATACTCGTGTGTAGGCAGAAAAGCCACATATTTCCCAGATTTACGGTACCTATCAAGGAATTAAGGCCGAATATCCATAGTACCGTGCCAAAGGGTTTACAACTCACGGTTTCTGGATCTAAAAAAGTCCTTGCTTTTTCACACATCTGTGTGAGCTACCAGCAGCATAACTGTAACATGTAACCAACCTCACTTCGCCCAGTGTGCTTAATAAACTGTGAATATTCCTCAATAATAGAGCATTTCTGATTGCAGTGGAGCTTTATTTGTTAATGTATTTTTGTATTACAGCTTCTGTGAAATTAACCCAAGGTAGCAGAAGAATCTGTCTACCCAGAGTTAACAGCTGGAGATAGATGACAATGGACAAAGTAAAGATGAACAGAATCTTTGCTCTTCAAAGAATTGTGCATAAGCAGTATTTTACACCCTTACTCAATCATTACAGAAAAAATGGGAGTTTCTGAATTGAAATGCTACAGAAACTTAAAATACCAAGGATCAAGAAAAAGAAAAACATCGACATCTTACAGGAATTTGCACATCGAGAAGAACTGGCCTATAAACAGCATCCTGTCCTGAAAAGTGAGATACATTGGCTGTGTTAAACGTCATGGTAGTCTGAACAGAATGGTAATGGAGGGTACGGTTTCTGGAAAATTAGGCAGAGCCAGACCTCTGCAAAGATGGATAAAAGACTCTGAAGATGCACTGGCTATGAAAGCAAACAGGGCTGGAGAATTGGCTAGAGAAAGAGAGACTTTCAGGCGTGATTTGACAAGAGCGATGTTCTGTAAAGGGTGTGCTGACTGATGATGATGATGAGTACTTTTCACAGAGGGAGTCAGCTGGTACTAATTTTTTTCAGAAAGTAATGGACTTTCACCTTCTATTTAAACTTCTTCTTTTTGTGGACCCCATAGCTCTGGAACAATGATTTTTTTTTAAAATAATAATAATAAAACTCTCCACTGTAAATAAGTAGTAAGGTGATTAGTGATTAGAAAGGGCATTCACAGCATTTCAGACAGATCCATAGGTGCTCTGATCTCCTCCTCAAAACCTCCACAAGTGTAAAACGACTGATGACGCCTGTTGTGTGTTGGTTAATGAAACGTCTTGTCCCCTTAGTGAAATGTTCATTTCTTGCGGCTCCAGGCTGCATCCCTATGTCCATCAGTCTAGACAGGGATTCGGCGTAGTAAGGTATGCGCAAGTTACCCACTTGATGGGTTCAGTGTCAATTATTTACAATTTATGATGGTATAAAAACAAACCTAATGGGTAAATATCCACTCTGAAAGGCAACATGATGCGCCTCGACATAAAATTATGTGTCTTCCCTTCGTCACGAGGAAACAGCGGAAGCCAAACCTGGAACAGTTAAAAATATAAAAATACAATGAACAAAAACAAGCAGTATATTACAACCTGGGTTACTGTCCTCAATAAGGCAAACACCTTTATATAAAAATTAATACTGCGTGTTAAATAAAGATCCTTAATATAAAATTTAACTGTTACCATTGCTGGGACATTGCTGAGATCTTTATTTCAGTAATCTTCTTCTTCTTTGCGTTCACCAGCTGTAAACTCTGGTGGAAAGTTCTGGTTGTTCGTCCACTTCTGGACTGCAGTCCTGTTCCATAACCTAAGTGTTGCGTGTGCATTCGTTTGACAGATCTGAAACATTTGTGTGCAGACTGTTGGTTCCTTGCCTCTCAGGCAGATGCACTCTGACTTCGAAGGAAGCTCCCAATAAGTTGACTCTTATGATATGCTTTTGGGAAGGCAGTGGGCCTATTCTTGTTTTCCCTATAATAGGACCCCAGAATCCACACGGTGGATTTCAGTAATGTAGGCTTAGATCACCACTAATTATTAGCATCATAAGGGCTAACAGACTGCAATGGTTAAGGAATATAGAGAAAATGACACACACACAAAAGAGACAAAATCTGCATATACACAAGAGAGTTGAATAGGAGTACAGAACAAGGCAGAGTAAGAAGACAGTGGAGACATAATACAGGCAAACACACTTGGAGTCCCCAACTGGAAAGAGAAGGGCAATCACAGCGATGAATGGAGGTGGGTGAAATCTGCATCAATCAACATCAAGGGCTCAGAAAGCTGCACGAAAAACATGTGATAGGAAGAACAGCAGGTTGGCTAGGACAGACCATCTGTGTAAAAAGCAGAAGCAGACAAAAATAAATTTTGCTGGATGGTCTAACATGGTGTCACAGAGAAATATTACAACTGTTCTAGAACACTCAGGATCAAGATCTGTGCAGATGAATGCTCACATAACCTAAGGTGGGAGACTTTCAGGAGACATCTATGTGCAATGAAAGTCATCCTCAAACCAGATCAATTTTTACATTCCAATCACATGTTGAATGTTCAATTAAGAATTGACATCACAGCACTCGGGACCCCCCATAAGCGCTCCATCCCCATCTTCAGCAGCAAGCAAAGAGTTAAAATTCTGTTGGTACCAGTAACTGTCTGATTGTATATCCATCTCGCCTTTCCCCTGAGTGTCGAGCGTTGGCCAGATCACATAATATATAAAAGTCTCCTCATAGACTTTAAGTTGCAGAAGACTGACAAAGACAAACATGGTTGTGGGCTTTCGTTAAAATATCCTGTATACAACAGCTTATTTGTTTTATTAGATTTAAAAGTAGGGGGCATGGTGTTCAATCCCCAGTAAGGGCTGGGATTTTTTTTCACGTAGACTTGGACTTCTAGTAATCCCCCCTGGTCTCTGGGTAGTGAGATCGGACGCCCGTGTGCATTGTTGTGCATGTAAAAAAATCCCTTGGCAGTTGGAAATCGAAAAGAGTAGCCTAACGGCGCTGCTCGGGCAAAACTTAGGAGTTAAAAATCTACCCAAAGTATTTCAGGATCCTCGCCGGTGCTACAGAGCCTGTGCACTGTGCTGAGCTTCTTCGGACTCACACTTGAGTTAGAAGAAGAACAGAGCACTTATCGGTTACCACCTTTGTGCCATGATGTTGATCCGTTGTTCAAACCTCATTCAGACTTAAAAGGTTGGTTGGCACGTTGTGTTATGGCTAGGCTGCATTCAATTTCAACAAACCCTGAAATAGTCAACTTTTATCATGTGGGTTGTGGCTAACGGGTTTAGTCTTGTCGCCCCGAAAAAAGTGAGACCCCTGAACCGTCAAGGGGATTATAACTACCAAGACTCTTGAATAATTTTTTTTATTATTATTTAAAAAAAGAAACACTGAAAAAAATAAAGTGAGTGTATACTACTGACTGAATGCCAACAAGCAGACGCAGGACAAACCTTCATGCCATGGGAACCACAGCCTAGCCACATTGCCTCCATTAGCTGAATCTTCCCCACGTTTGCTCTGGTTGTTGTCCACAAATTTTCTACAGATGTCGCCACAACAGAGGGGTTGCAAAACGGGACCTGAAATCAAGAAAACTGGCTCCTTAAAAAAAATATAAATTGGCATATATTATCATGTAGCAAGTCCTTTGCAGAATGTTGCTCTCATCAAGGTCTGCCTGAAAGAAACTCAAGTCAAGACAGCTCTCCCACCTCATGTACTTTCATATTCAAGGAGTCACTTATATACTGCGCCCATCTTTGTGTTGGTCAGCTGCTGCCCCTCCTTCCTGGTAACATGCCTTCTGCTATTCTTTTATTTTTTTCAATCCATCGTGGTACTTGATATGACCAAAATAGTTCAGCATCCAAGACAGGATGCTGTTTATTAGCCAATTTTTCTTTATGCTCAAACCTTTTAAAATGTCAGAATTTTTCCTTTTTTGTCCATAGTATACGAAGAATCTTTCTATAGCAGTTAAGCTCAAAAGCCCCTATTTTCTTTCTTAAGGACATACATACTGACACACACGTTGCTTAAACCCTACCATCCTCTACAGTTATTACGTAAGCCTATGTAGAATAAATTACACTAATTCACTTATTATAGTTACTACATTAACTCTCTAACTGCCTTTCCTGAAAATTACCAGACTTCACTCTTTCAGATCCACAAAAGTTATAACATTGTAAAGTCACCCTAAAGTTCACAGTACTGCTGCTAACAAAGCCAAGAGAATCTTTACAAGTGTTATTACATTGTAAAATGATCTACTACTGAGTAAAGATGGTCGTTGCATTAACCGTATTAACCAAAGAAGCGTTTTGTTCTGTTTCTTTATGAATGAATGAATCAATCAATCAATCTGCTATAACTGATACCACTGCACATGAGATATTCCCATACATGCTCTGTCCCCTTCCACAGTAGCCAACGAAGAGTTCCCATAATAATGGTGCCAGCTGGAAAACTGGAACACATAAGTGCAGCGATTTCCATCAGTATCAACTGGTCATTTTCCGTCATAGTTAAATCAAATGCTGCAATATAATTTGCTCAGTGCGACTTTCCCAGGCAATGACAGTGTTGATGAACTATCCTGAAATTCTTCCTGCACTTATACCTTTGTTGAATTAACAAGTATGCATCACTGTAGACTTTTATTCACCAATGAGATTCTGTAGGTCTACTTTTTGTTGTTCTTCTTCTTCTTCGTCTGTCGTCATCGATCAATAAAAGGCTAACATAATACGGCTATCCTCCGAATAACGGTCGTAAATTATCGAGGCAGAAAATACACCCTAACAGGGCCTCAGTCACGTGTCAATTGCGCACTTTTGTCATCTTAAAATGCGCGCTTACGGCGACTTCTGCCACCGCCGAGAGTGTCAGCCAAGCCGCTCATGCGGCGTGGATTGGGGCTAAACTAGATGGCTAGGACTCACGAGCAGCAACTACCACATCTCCTGCAGCTTCCTTCATTTTATTTGCTCGTGAGTCCTAGCCATCTAGTTTAGCCCCAATCCACGCCGCATGAGCGGCGTGGGGGACACTCTCGGCGGCGGCGTTATAGTCTACGAAAGTGCGCAATTTACATGTGACTGAGGCCCTGTTAGGGTATATTTTCTGCCTCGATAATTTACAACCGTTATTCGGAGGATAGCCCATAATACTATTCCTTTAATTCCCAGGATCACCAAGGTGTCCACGACATGGAGGTGATAGCCCTCAAATCCAGCCACTTCAGTGACACAGTTCGCAAGTCTCTTGAAAAAACTTTTGGAACTTTAACACCTAGAGGACTGAACAACACAGTTTCATCTAAAACCCTCCAGTTATGGCCCCTGGAATTCCCAGGGGGTATTTATTCTCCAGTCCCATATGCCTCGTCAGTCTACTGACAAGACATCAACCTGGCTGCTTCAAGATGCTAAGCTAAGTGATTTTTGTGTAGTTGTGTGGTATTGTTTTATTTATGTATGTGCTGATGAAGGCTCTATTGCCGCAACGTTCATGTTTTGTTTGTGTTTGTTATATTGTGAAGCTTGCTGATACATTTATTATGCTTCTTCTGTGATATCACAGGTTCATTTGTCCTGTGTGGCCACTAGCAGGACATTCTTGGAACTAGAACATAAATAATACTGTATAATATGTATCTACATAATACTACATAGTAATGGCACCATATCCTAAACAACTATCTATATTTAAGGTTTCTATCTGAAGCTTCTGGAAGAAAAGATAGGGGATGATCAGTATGATGATGGATAACAGATATCAAAGATGCCCTGGGCATGAAACTACACAAGGCGGGTAAGCTGGCAGGGAACACAGTGGTTTTACTGGAAGAAAGAATAATCACAATGATGATTTTAATCTCCCTTGTATATTAATTCTGATCTACGATTAGAATTCTCGGTACTAATAAAAGAATTTGTCCCAACTCGCACGGCTGCGTGATTTCCAATTCAATCCCACCGGCTGTCCTATGTTCTAGGAGTGTCCGGTGTTGCATGTTTTGAATGTTTTAAGCATATCCACTATCAGTGATAGCCACTGCCAACAAGCGTAAGAATGCAAAAATTACGGTTTATACAGGTGGAGAAGGAAGGCATCTCATAACACCCCTAGAACACAGGACAGCTGTGGGAACAGCCAGGAAACCTCATGCCCGAGCGAGATGGAGTGAATTTTATAATTAGTACCAAATCCTCTCCATCTTGTGCCTTTCATTTCCCAATTAATGGAGCATAAGCCTCAACCAACTCATCCTCCGCCTTCTGTAAACTTGTTCTTGGTTGGTAGCATTTTGCAGCTAAATTTTTCCATGGGATGAGATTCTGACCCTCTTTAGTTGCCTGTTACAACAAGCTAAATGCTTCCCTGCTTATACAAACGTCATTGGTTCAAATCCCCATTCAATGCATTTTTTTAAATAATTTTTTTCAATGAATGATCTCGGCTCCCCAAGTTAATCCACCCCAAAAGTTCCAGGAAATATCAAGGAAAGTGAAGGCAGTCAGCATGATGCTGACCCCAATATCAGTTGAGTGAACTGGTCTATAGAAGCATGAGTCTGGCACCATATGCCCAATACACCAATGATAAGAAAATAGTTCTGTATTATACAAATGGCCCTGTTCTGCTTTTTAGCAACAGTCGGCACTGCTAACACGGATTCCTTACTTATGAAACAATGGTAGGCTAAACTGTTACTACTGTTGCCTCCATTCTTCTTCTTCCTCTGCTTTCACCCTTAAAAGGGTGGTTGATTCATTGTGCCTTTTATGTCACGCTTGTTTGGGGAGCAGTGGGTTTTTAAGCTACTAAATCAAAAATTCGATACAGTCAATGAAGACTTCAAATTCAGGAAAGAAAGAAAAAAAAACACATAAAACTTCATCATTGACATGAATGATCTCTATCAGTGAGAAACCTACCGGCCGAATTTTGCTTGTTTCCTCTTTGATCTGGGGACCAGTTCTGTCTCGCTGAAACATTAATAACTTTCCTGAAACATTAACCAGCATTGATTCTGCTTCTTTGGCAGATGGGCTGAGCTTGGAACTACCTGTAGTTGAAATGTATAATGGTAAATAAAATTATTCACAAAGAAGTATAATTAATTTTAAAATTAAATAAATAAATTTAAAAAATGTGGGTAATAGATCTTCTGTGGCTTAGAGGTTGCTCAAATTGTTTCACAGTGAAATTTTCTATGTTAACTATGGTTTGATGTTTACTAGGGTTCGATGTTTACTAGGGTTTGATGTTTACTAGGGTTTGATGTTTACTAGGGTTGGATGTTTACTAGGGTTCGATGTTTACTAGGGTTCGATGTTTACTAGGGTTCGATGTTTACTAGGGTTTGATGTTTACTAGGGTTTGATGTTTACTAGGGTTCGATGTTTACTAGGGTTCGATGTTTACTAGGGTTCAATGTTTACCAGGGTTCGATGTTTACTAGGGTTTGATGTTTACTAGGATTTGATGTTTACTAGGGTTCGATGTTTACTAGGGTTCAATGTTTACTAGGGTTCAATGTTTACCAGGGTTCAATGTTTACTAGGGTTCGATGTTTACTAGGGTTCGATGTTTACTAGGGTTCAATGTTTACTAGGGTTCAATGTTTACTAGGGTTCAATGTTTACTAGGGTTCAATGTTTACTAGGGTTCGATGTTTACTAGGGTTCGATGTTTACTAGGGTTCGATGTTTACTAGGGTTCAATGTTTACTAGGGTTCAATGTTTACTAGGGTTCAATGTTTACTAGGGTTCAATGTTTACTAGGGTTCAATGTTTACTAGGGTTCAATGTTTACTAGGGTTTGATGTTTACTAGGATTTGATGTTTACTAGGGTTCAATGTTTACTAGGGTTCAATGTTTACTAGGATTTGATGTTTACTAGGGTTCAATGTTTACTAGGGTTCAATGTTTACTAGGATTTGATGTTTACTAGGATTTGATGTTTACTAGGGTTCAATGTTTACTAGGGTTCAATGTTTACTAGGGTTCAATGTTTACCAGGGTTCAATGTTTACTAGGGTTCAATGTTTACTAGGATTTGATGTTTATAGGGTTCGATGTTTACTAGGGTTCGATGTTTACCAGGGTTCAATGTTTACTAGGGTTCAATGTTTACTAGGGTTCAATGTTTACTAGGGTTCAATGTTTACTAGGGTTCAATGTTTACTAGGGTTCAATGTTTACTAGGGTTCAATGTTTACTAGGGTTCAATGTTTACTAGGGTTCGATGTTTACTGGGGTTCGATGTTTACTAGGGTTCGATTCCCATGGTGGGTAGCTTAAAAAAAAGACTCATGTCATCACTCTCAGATAGTGGAAGAGATTGCAGCCCCACCATGTAATATTTCTATAATATATTCTATATTTTGGATACACTGCAACCAAAATCGGCCACAAAGATGGCACCATTTAGTTCGCAATAAGATCTACACCCCAGACACACAAAAATGTTTCAGTAACCAGGCTAATTTGTTTCTAAAATGCTGGATGCGTACACATAATTTTCTGATGATGTGATTTATTGAAAAACAATGTACAATTCAAATTCAGAATTTTTTGTTATAAACTTGGTTTTCGGAAACTGTAAATGAATTCAATAAAAGTAAATTATATATTTAAACGAAAAAAAACAATGATTACATACCTGACTCTGAGACTAAAGATGTCAAGGTAAGACCAGCAACACAAAGGGGGTGGGGAATGAAACTACTCAGGGAGATCTCCTGGACTTTGGTGATGATAACTGAGGGATCTGAAATAGAATTGTACTAAAGTACAGTCTTGAAAACAACAAACAGAACTGTACAGAGGCATTGTCGTGTTAACAATAAATCCAAAACTGAAAGACCTGAAACACCATTGCTCCAAGGTACAGTCATATTAACAAGAAACAATACTGCAAAGAGATATGTCAGGCTGACAATGAAAAAAAGGGAAAAAAATGAAAGATCTAATACAGTACTGCACACAGGTACAGTCAGATAATTAACAAACTGCATCACCCGGTGTTAAAGTTATATTAACAAAACCAACAGTATTAATCCCAGGCAAAGTCATGATAACAACAAACAGTACTGCACAGAGGTACAGTCGTGCTAACAAAAAATAGCACTGCACAGAGGTAAAATCATGTTGACAAACAGCACTGCCCTGAGATTCAGTCATGTTAACAACAAACAACATGGCTCTAAGGTACAGAGATATAGTCCTGTTAACTGTAGTGAGTCTAATTTTCTCCTAGATAAATTATGCCCAGACGGAATGACGTCAGTAATTAATGAAAGTGGAATATTTAAAGTGTAACACGAGAAATGCTGACCAGACGAACTATCATGAAAATCACAAAGGATTGCTGCCCAGGTAAAAATCACGGGGATCACAAATAAAGTGCTGGCCAAATAGAATTCGGGTAAATCAGAGAACACGGAGAATTCGGGAATACAAAGAGGGGCATTAGGCTATATAATGCGTTAGAAAGGGCTGGGAGTCAGTCTCGTTTAGGCCTAGGAAATGAAAACATGAAGAGTGATGGAGTGTCTGCAGGATCCAGAAAGAGTGTTTAAGTCCGACGTGTCTGCACAGTGTTTTTCCAAAGCCTATCTGGCCATCAGTTGCGGCGAACGGAAGTCGTAGCCAGCTGAGAATGTTTTGTGTTTTTGAACGGAAGGAATCATTGTTGTTCATTCAATTGTGGGATGGATGTTAGATTATGAGGTAAAGTTGACATGTTAGATAAGAGGATAGATATGAGTGACTATGTTGTCCATTTTCATTTACTGGCTGCAATACCAGCGAGTGAACAAATAAACTGTACGTGTAATTTGGATCGTTCGACAGCGTCCATGTTTTCTCGTGTGTTGTCAGTCGGTGAATGGAAGCGTGCAATGACTCACTAGAGCCAGAAGACAATAGAAAGTCATCGCATTAACAACAAATAACACTGCACAGAGGTAAAATCATGTTAACAACAAACAACACTGCAAAGAGACAGTCAAGTTAACAAACAGCACAGCACAAAGGTACAGTTGTGTTAACAACAAACAGCAGTGCACAGTTACCAACCAGCTAAGAACTGAAGGAAATGAAATAACATTGCACAGAGGTAAAATCAGTTAACAACAATCAACATTGCAAAGAGACATTCATGTTAACAAACAGCATGGCACAAAGGTACAGTTATGTAAACAACAAACAGCAGCGCAGTTACCAACCAGCTAAGAACTGAAGGATATGAAACAATACTGCACAGAGGTACAGTCATGTTAACAACAAATTTTAAAAAACTAAAGAATCTTACACAGAGGTGGAGTCACATCTAAAAGTTATGAACTGAATGACCTGGAACAGTATTTTACAGAGGTAAAGTCATGTGCAAAAATATCTGCAAAGAGAGAATTCAACAAAATGAACTTACTTGACTGCACATTCCTCCTCTCCAAGTTAAACATGGCTACATGACTATCAGCACAGAACACAATCAGCATGTCTCTAAAGGTGTTCAACAGCAACACCTGGGACTGCAAACTGTAAACCTGGGCAAAGGTGTTGTCTAGTTTGCATGTCCTGGGATAGCACCTCAGCTGCAAGATATTAGGAATTATCAACACTGGTTTATAATGGCAGCTTTCATGGTGTGTCGGCGTCTGTGGCTTAGGCATTGCGAACACTCGCCAGGTTCGATCCCAGCTGTGGGCCTAGCGTCTTGTGATGGTTTCAGCAGTGGTATCGAGAAGTCGACCGTCCAGAAAGCAATGGCAAACTACTGGACATAAACTTGCCTAGAAAAGCCACTACAGCCCAAAAAAATGCTGGGGTTAGTTCTGCAACATACTGTAAAGGATACGGAACTAACTTTTCTGTGGTGTAGTGGTTAGGTGCTCCATGAGGTCATGTGTTGAAATCCAGACTAAAAAATATTTTTAGATGACCTTGGCTCTCAGGTTTACTGACTTACTTACTTACTTACTTAGCTCCTCTTCTACCTTGGGGTGTAGAGGTTTGCCAGAGAGATCGCCAGACGTCTCTATCCGCAGTTTTCTTTCTGGCTTTGTTCCATTCCAGTCCTCTGTCAGTTAGGGACTGTCGGATGTTGTCTTCCCAGCGCACCCTGGGTTGTCCCGGAGGTCTGGTTCCCTGGTTCTTAGCCTCCCATGCCTGCCATGGTGGCCGATTTTCTCCCATTCTGCATACATGTCCAAACCATCGTAACTGTGACTGATCCACTCGGGTTAGTAAGGGCTGGGTATCAAGATCCTGACGTATTGTCTGATTGCGGACTTTGTCCTTTCTTGTCACTTGGACCACCTTTCTCAGGTATCTCATTTCCGAGGCCTGCAGCTGGCCTCTGTGAGCTGTTGTCATTGCCCATGACTCACACCCATAGGTCAGGACTGGTACATAGGTAGAGCGGTAAACAGCCATTTTCGTCCTCTTGCCAATTTCTCTTTTGCTAAGAAACCCTCGGTTTATGGCCTGGAAGAGTCTCCCAGCAGCTGCTTTTCATGTAGCCAGCTCAGTCTTAATGCCTCTGTTTTGGTCTAGTACAACTCCAAGGTATTTGAACTGGTTAACCTGCTCCAATGCATACTGTCCCATCATGATCTGGTGTTTCTTCTCCTCTCTTGAGATCACCATGGTTTTAGTTTTGGAGATACTAATGGTCATCCCTTTCTTTTCAAGCTATTCCTTCCAGACAAGTAAGTTGGACTGAAGGTGTGCCTCTGATTTAGCTATCAGGGCCACATCGTCTGCAAAAGCCAGCTCTGATATACAGATTGGTCTCATCTTCCAGTACCCTACAGAGTACTTCTTTGTCTTCTCCTTACAGGTCTTGATGACATCATCCATCATAAGAATGAAGAGGTAAGGTGAGAGAATATCACCTTCTCAGGTTGACCCAGCCTCAAATTGGTACCAGGTAAAGTCCTGGGAAGTAAAGGCAGCTGGCATGATGTTGACCACATTACTCACTGAGTGCTGACTGGGCTATCAAATACAGGTCTTGCACTATAGGCCTAATATTGCTGAAGGTATGGAAAACAGTCCTTTATATATACAACACATAGCCGCTGGTATCAACAGTTATTTGAAAGCCAAGACAGCGATCTTTACTGGGCTCATCAAAAGGAGAAATGGACAGTGAATCACAAAAAGACACTAAAATGGGAAACAAATGGACTGAGGTAATGAAGACATCCACCAGAAACACTAAGATGAATGTTGTTGAGAAAGGCCAAAGGTGCTGGACTGGATTCCATCAGGATATCAAAAGGATTGCAAAGGATGGAATGGAACAGAGGACTAGACTGCAAGCCCTCTGTGATGTAAAATGGCCTAACTGAATGATGATGATGATGGTTTTTATAGTGCAACATAAAGTAACCCATTTTCCATCTTACTGGAGCACTGTGTAGTATATGGTGTTGGACTGATTACTTTTCTTGGCTGTATGGAACATCAAGCATGGCATGATGTTTGTCTCTGTTACGTTTTTGTTACCCATAATATGTGACTGGGTAGCATCCGTAGCCGTAGTAAAAAACCGTTTCCATTTTGTTCTACTTTTTCTTCACGTTTATTGGCTGCAAATCCTGACGGAACGTGCTGGTTGGTCGTCCACTTTTGGACTTTAAGTTTTGTTCTGCATGCACAGCTGTTTTACAGTATTAGCTTACCTATAAGCAGACTGTTGGTTCCTTGTCTCTCAGGCAGATGCACTCTGAAGAAACACCCCTAATTGGTCTAATTTTACAACAAGGTTGTTAGAGGGAGGGGCAGCAGGTTTTTTCTTTTTTCCCCAAAATGAGGTTACCAAACCCACACAGGGAATCTTTTCCACTAATCTGAGACACACTGGATATTTCAGGCCAGCCCCATGTTTGTACTTATTAATCAACACTTCATAATCAAAGTGGAAACTTTTAGTTCCCAAAACTGTTTCTAGTACAAATTTCTGTCAGCTGTTTTTCTTTCTATACTGACTCAGCATGAACATTGCCATGTAAAAGGTGTTAAGGCAGCGTAACCGCATGGTGCTAGCCTACTGGCCCGAAGATCTAAGATTCAGTCTGCATTGAGGCAAACTTAACCTTGGCTATCAGGTAGACACAGCCTTCATAAATGTGTACCAGATCACGTCTGGGGAAGTAAAGGTGGCCAGCATGATGCTGACCACATCATTCATCTAGTGCCAGCAATTCTTTTCTTTTTTTTTAACGGGTAGTACTACATGCTATGAACCAGATGCGCCAAATGTGTGGAAGCGGTTCTTTCCACTTTACTGTCATGTACACCAAATTGCCTTTCTGTACAAATACGTGAAAATAGTTATTTACACTTTACTTTTATGTAAACCAAACTGCCTTTCTGTATAATTTGACTTCAATTACCTCATCTCTCTGGCCCTGGATGTTGAAGCATGCCAGACAGACAAAGTTGTTCCACCAGGTGATGCCTCCGGACACAACCATGTCCCGTTCCTGAGTCTCATTTCCAAACAGCTTCCATTTGCGGCTAAACAAAGCATAGTGGGCAAACCCAGTCTTGCCTGCCACAGCAACACACTGACCAGCCAGGTCAACTGCTGCATACTACACAACAAAGGAAAGAAACAAACAGATATGGACACACTGTTTTTTATACAATATATTCTTGACGGAACATTTATTTTTTTAAATTACAGAAAAATAATAAATAATGGAAATCTGTCATCTTCTGCGAGCTGTGTTAGCACAGAAGCAAGATGCTCACATGTCGGCCTTAAGGTCATAGACTCAGATCTGTCAAATTTAAAAAAAAATTTATTTGGCTCTCAAGTCTGCTCAGCTTGAAATGTGTACCAAGAAAAGTCTTGAGAAGTAAAGGCAGCCGGTGTGATGTTGGCAACATCATCCACTGAGTGCCAATTCCTCCATGAAAACATGTTTCTAGCATCACACGCCTGATGCGCAACTGGTGTAAAAAAGGGATCCTTTATTGTTTAAAATATTTATCTACTGCTGCTGTCTTACAAGGCCCAATGAAGCCTAGATCCTCGTCCAATACCTGCCAGGTCCTTCTGTAGATTTGATGACAACGTTGGTCAACATGGTTTTCAGCTAGTTTTCTATGTGAAGGGTAGCCAGTTAGACACCAACATACCTCAGTTGCCTTTTAAGACACGCCTGATAACTGTGTTACCATTCTCGTCTTCCAAGTTTGACAAAAGGTAACACTGTATGAAGTACAAACTCAGCTAACTAGGAACCACTGGCATATAGCATGTTCAAGGCTTGAGAAAAGATAACACTGTATGAAGTACAAACTCAGCTAACTAAGAACTACTGGCATATAGCATGTTCCAGGCTTGAGAAAAGATAACAACTGTCTGAACTATAAAGTGAGCTAACTGGGAACCACTTGCATAACATTGTATGAAGTATGAAGATCAATAAAGTTTCCAAAAACAAATAATTCAACAAGGTAAGCATAATCTTTCTGCCAACATTATGCTACTAATGCCTGACCTGTAACTAAAGCTGTTATGTGGCCTATAAGGGGATATCCTCTATCTCACCTCAGGCACCAGCAGGCTCTGTCCTGGTTTTATGGGTTCTAAAATATATAGCACTCATCATCCGAGGTTGCATAATGACCCACTAAAGCAACTGGCAGGGCGAATCCAGGCAAAACAAAATGCCCGATGAAGTTAGACACATCTGCTGAAAGGCACAAACATCACAGACAGCTGTGCTGTAAACAGGTACTTGGGTGAATGATGAAGAAGATTGTGTTGGAAATGGATTTTATTGAAGTACTGGGCAAGTTAGTCAGGCTGATTCTGTAACAGCTGGTTTGGTGTCATAACAAACTTCTTATATTATAGACAGAGCTGACTTTTAGACATGGAGAAAACAGAGCTAGAAACAACAATCATTACGTCTGAATAATGAGCAGAAATACTTTGGAGTGGTTACTGCATCGGAGGACTGTGCACACTTAGGAATGATCACTCTGCAGTGACATCGATTGTAATAACATAACATTATGTCTGTATTTCAAAACAAACAAATGATTTAGTGCGTGAGACCTCAATTTCTAAAACGTCTAAAAGGGATTTTAGAAACTAGTGGATAATGTCCATACCCGTATAGGCCAGTTGGAGGCCAGGTAGCTGTGTGAGATAGGAATCACTTGCCACTGCTTGTTTCCGATGTAGCAATGACCTGCATTAATGGCTGTGTTATTCCCTTTAGCCATGTGGTACTGTGAGCTGCCCCGTGACATTGTGTCGCCCGTGCTCATGTACAGTTTATCCTCACCTTGCAGAAAGACATGTTCGTGGTTGCCCTGGAAATAGAATTAATGGCACATTTTTTTAAACATGCACCTGTTAGTCCAAAGGTCATGAGTTCTTATCTTCACTGGGTGGTATGGAAAAATTGTGATTGTCGAATCCCCCTCAACCCAGACCAAAATGAGTACCAGAAAATGTCCTGGGAAGTAAAGATAGTTGGCAAGCTGCAGACCAATTCACTGAGTACTGATTAGTCTATAAAAATAGGAGCCTAGCACTATAATCCTGATCTGCCACTTGCGTTATGTTGTACCCCACCAGGACATCACACAATCGATAAACACCCATTGACACAAAGTGCCATCATGGGGATGAGGATCACTCATGGAGAGGTCCCAGAAACCCTGCTCAGCCGTTTGGCCATATTTCAGGTCCGGCTATATTTAGGGCCCCAGCAAAAGCAGTGGTGGGGCTTCAAAATAGCTAAAAACTGCATACTGGTGTGATAGCACTGGACAGTTTACATACTCTTTGTGTGGGTTCCTGGGCCCCATTGTGGGGACAACAAGAGTAAATCCACTGCCTCCCCAACAAGTATGTTGTAAGAGTCTACTAATTGGAGGCTTCCTTCAAAGTCAGAGTGCATTTGACTGAGAGGCAAGGAACAGCCAGCTGCACACAAATTAGCGAGTATAACGGATTTACACGCAAAACTCAGGCCCTGGCACAAATCTAAAGTCTAAATGAATGAATGATCAGGATTTTCTGCGGAAGCTTACAGCCGGTGAACAAAGAAGAAGAAGAGTTTACATGCAGGAGAGAACAAGCCTCATACAATGGACACCACAGTGGGAAACTGTAAAATTGGCTCAGTTCATATGACACCGGCGTGATGCTGACCACATCACCCATCATGTGCCGACTGGTCTATTAAATATAGGTCTAGCCCTATATGCCCTATAAGCCTAAAGGCGTGGAAAAGGGTACTTTTTACATATGACACTGCTTCAAAGCAGATTTGTAATACCTGGTCTGGGCTCTCAGGTTGACCCAGGTAAAAATAGGTACCAGGAATTGTTTTGGTAAGTAAAGGCGGCTGACTACAAGTGTGGTCCAAATATATCTTCAACAGTAAATTACCCATGCAACTAGGTAATCGCAGCTCCAACTTCATAGTAAACGAGTCAAGCTCCTTTCCTGTGCCAATAATAACTGCACAGAATGACCTTCATTCTCTCTTGGGAAAAAAATGCTGATACAGATCTGCAGTCTCAGCAAAGCTGATAGCGTACATCATCATAATCATCATCATGTGTCCTGCCAACTGGCGTAGGTGCTCATGAGTCTCCACAGATCACGATCCCTGGTTGCCTGGAACAGCTCTCTTGATGATATCCCTCCATGCCATTGTTTCAGCACATCCAGCATCGTCTCTCTTGGTCTGCCTCTACCCCTTTTTCCACTGATCTTTCCAGTTGTCATGATGTTCTCAAATGTTTCTCTTCTCATTACGTGGCCAAAGAACAGTGTTTGTCTCTTCCTTATTGTTGTATATAGAGATTTACTTTTGTTAGCTTATTTCAAGCAATCGTTATTAGTTACTCTGGCCGTCCAAGGTATTCGTAACATTCGCCTCTGAAACCACATCTCTGTTGCTTCCAAATTCTTCCTAATTTGTTTACTGACATTCTGAGATTCGCTGCCACACAGCAGAACAGGTTCTATGTAACATTCTAGCATCCTCTTTCTGACAATAAATGAGAGCGATTTATTGCGTAAGATATTTTTTATTTTCTGACAGCATACATATGCATTAAATGCATAAAGACATCAGAAGTGCCAAGACAAACAGTCTGGCACTACAAATGATGATAAATGATTGTTGATGTTGTTGTTAATTCTTCTTCTTTCTTCTGTACGTCCTCTTCTAACGCTTCAGGTGTCGACAGAGATATAAGATCCTTCTACATGCTCTTCGGCTGCTTCGACCACAGACACATCGTGGTTGTTCTTTAAAGTTAACTTATTAACAGATGTACGAATTAAATAACATATTAAAGGAAAAAGATATGAAGGATACAATTTGATAAAGGCCTGCATTATTAATTTTTTAATTTTTTGAAAACAACATTTTATTTTTATTTTTTTAGTTTGTTAGTTCATTAATTCTCCAAAAAAGAAAAACACTACTGAGGAAAAAAAAAAGAAGAAAACAATGCTTGCACATAATAAAGGCATCTCAAGCACCTTACCATACATGGGTTAACAGTGAGAGCACTCTTGACAAACTGAAACTGCAGGAGCTGAGTGGAGGACTTCCGAGATCTGTCTTCAGACACTTTGTTATCTTCATACTCGCTTTTCTTAACATTGACATTTTTCTCCATCTCATCCGAGAAAGAACTTTCCTTGGAGTCAGTCTGTGGTGGGCTTTCCCTTCCACTGCCTGGGTCAGTACTGTTAGCTGCTACCATCCACAGATGATAGCCCTCCAGACCCCACTCCATGGATATTATTGGAGGAGGAAACAAGCTGCCGCTGTCAGTTAGCCTACTGTTGAGAGAAGCACATTGGATAAGTACAGTCATGACTTGTCATTCTAGGTATGCTGAACCACACACAGAAATTAAATGCTGAGTGTTGAGCTACGAATGAACATAACAACACTCAGGAATTTCCTGTAAGTGCTCCATCTCTATCTTCAGCAGCCAGCAAACAGTTTCAATTCTGATGATGTCAGTAGCAGTTTGATTACATGTCCGTCTTGTCTTTCCTCTGAGGACAGAGCGTCGACTAGATTCCACTGGTCATTCCTAGCTGTACCATTCTCTCCAGACCATAATGATCTATTTAAGCCTCCACACTGTTAACTTTCTCCCAAAGTGCACAGACCACGTCTAGTTTGTCATGCATAAATTCACCACCAATCAAGCACAGAATATGTCAGCTTGTCCATTCCCTAACACTACTCCATATAAATTAAATATGTTACATAAAAGTACAGGAAAATCTGGTCTGTTTAGTCTTAATTGTTATAAGTGTAAGATTATAATAAAATGCAACAGAGATGATATGTCTTAGAAAAGCTGCCAGAGTAACAAGAACAGACCAAATTAAAAATGAAGAAATAGAAGACAACTAGGCCTGAAATCAGTCATACAGTTCATTAACAGCAGGCTATCTAATTATAATGCCCCGGTACCAACCCTAAAAGTCTGTTAACATATTGTCAACACAAGGGTGCAGCTAGATATAGTCAAGCCTTGCCATTACAGAGCTGTGAAAATATACACATAAACTAAATATATTGTTTGAGTGTGTAGGATAATCTAATCTTGGTCAGTGGTTTAAAAAAAAAAAAAAGAACGACAGGCAAGTATAGTCATGTTTTCTCATTCTCAAGATGTATAACTACAAATATAAACTAAATATGCTGTTCAAACATAAAGAGACATATATCCTGTTTGGTCACAAATTCAGTCAAACTAAATGCTGCTGTTGAGGAGTCGTCTTAGCCTTATAAAATGGATATGAGACCAAACCATCTCAGGTCCACGTAACATGAGACATTGACTAACTACACAGAAGACCCTACCCAGATAGAAATGAAAAACAAGTACATCCACCATAAGCAGAGCAAAGGAGGTAAACACCAACAAGAGGAGAAGGCAAAACAGGACCCAGACATATTCGGATAGGAAAACAAAGCCATTAGTCCTGGCACAAATATGCAAATTTCAGCCAACAAACTAGGCTTAAAAAAAAAGACCACAAATATAACCAACCGCAAAAGTTGTTCACACAAGGTTGAAAGTGGTAAAATTGTATTCTTATTTTCATACAATTGGAATCTGAATTTCTCAGAAGGAAACGTGACAAGGAAGTAAATCTGTCAACCCAACTCAGTGCATTATCTACAACAAGCGAAGGACTTCACAACACAGCCCACCAACAGTATCTGTTATAAGATTACCTGTTCGCACAAGGAAAACTTTTTTTTTTTAAATATGTTTTGGCAGCAAAGATAGGCTCAATTATCTACACACACAAAATGACACTTTGACGGCACCTGTAGTCCCCTCCAAGGGTGCATAAGAGTAAAGAACCGAATACACTCCATAAAGAGAGCCCTCCATTCTTCCACACCATTGCCAAAGCTGTGCCATCAGGGGTCCACTTCATGCAGGTGACGGAGCCAGCAATGTGACCTGCATCTGTAAGAAGGTTACCAGAAAAATTACACCTTCAACACTAAAGATTTTGTGAAAGTGATTCAATGGCAGTTTAAAAATGCTCAATTCATGTTACTTTCTCAACCAGGTAACTCTCTCTTGAGTTATTATTAGACATAAAGGGGGGGGGGGCAGAGGGGGGTTGCGTGGTTTTAAGGCATGGTGTCCGCCTCGAGTACTGGAGGTTCTGGGTTCAATCCCCGCTAAGGGCTGGGATTTTTTCACATGGACTTGGACTTCTAGTAATTCCCCCTGATCTCTGGGTAGTGAGATCGGACACCCATGTGTATTGGCAGTTGGAAATCGAAAAGAGTAGCCTAACAGCACTGCCCGGGCAAAATTTAGAGTTCATGATCTACCCAAAGTATTTCAGGATCCTCCCTGGTGCTACAGAGCCTGTGCACTGTGCTGAGCTTCTTCAGACTCAGACTTGAGTTAGAAGAAGAATGGAGCACTTATGGGTTACTACCCGTGTGACATGATGCTGATCCGTTGTTCAAAGCTCAAACCTTAAACACCTGACACTTCTGTCATCCCTGTATGCCTTCTTGTGTCATGATAGCTTTATGGACAAGGTCCTTTTATCGGCTGTGTAACAGATTATTTTTGTAGCCTCTGCTTTTCCATTAATGCTTTGCTTACATGTCTGCCACTTTTTCTGATTTCAATGTATCTAGATATAGGTGTTGACTGGAGTATGGTTTGTGGATAGCACACACAGAGAGAAAACAGAAACAGTATGATAAACAAGTAAAAAACGAAACAGTATGTTAAACAAAGAAAACAGTGAAACAGTATGGCAAACAATTAAACACTAAAAACTGTGATAAAAAAAGAAAACTTGTAAACAGTATGCTAAACAAAGAAAAAAAAATAAACAGTAAGAAAAACAAAGAAAAAATGGAAACAGTATGATAAACAAAGAAAACATGGAAATGGTATGTTAAACAAAGAAAATAATTGGAACTACCAAAAATCAAAGAAAAATCAAGACAGCACAATAAAAAAAGGAAAATTGAAACAGTGTGATAAACTAAGAAAACAAATCAAAACAGAATGATAAACAAAGAAAAAAGTGAAACAATGACAAAGATAAAAGTGAAACAGTATGTTAAATAAAGACATAAACAAATCAGAACAGAATGTTAAAGAAAGAAACAAAATTAAAACAGTATAATAAAAAAAGAACAAATGGAAACAGTATGATAAACAAAGGAAAAACAGAAACAGTATGATAAACAAAGAAACAAATCAGAACAGTATGATAAACAAAGAAAATGATGGAAACAAGTAAGATACCAAAAAAAAGTGAAACAGTATGTTGAACCCAAAAAACATAGAATCTATGATAAACACAGAAAAAAATGCAAACAGTATGATTAATAAAGAAAAAATGAAAATACTGTTAAACAAAGAAAAACCAGAAACAGTAATGATGAACACAGAAATGAGTAATTACATTTTTTGTGGTCTTTTTTCTTAACTGCTTGAAAGCAACTTTTTTATTGGGCAAATTATAAAATAAAGCAAATTAGGACTGATCACAACATCTCTCTACAATGTAAACTCACCTGGAAACTCCTTGCTGGAAATAACAAGTTTATGAGACACTTCTAAAGCTCCAACTGCTTCATCTAAATGAAAGACCACACCCTCTCCACTGAAAACACAGACATTACTTATTAATGACACTGTTCATTGTTCATTTTTAAGATCATCCTCATCACACATCAGACATGACCAAAAGTGCTCCAATCTCCTCCTAAGTATGTCTCCAAGTGTTTTTAGACTAACAACTGCCACTCTGTTCTGGCTGATGTAACGAAGGGTGGCTCCAGCAAGGTTTTCCTGTCTCGCCGTTCCAATTGGTATACCCAGGCCATGGGGTCTATTCATGAAATTCTCACAGTGTTTAGTCTGTCGTATGTCTTTTGATGACGTCTCTCCTGTCCATGAGGGCTCATTCCTTATTAATGACAGTTGGTAGCAACAAGTGGCAACAGCAAACTCAAAAACAGTTGTCTTCTTCTTCGTGTTCACCGGCTGTCAGCTTTTGCGGAAAGATCTGATTGTTCATCCACCTGTATGCAGACTGTTGGTTTCTTGCCTCTCAGGCAGATGCACTCTGACTTCAAAGGAAGCTCCCAATTAGTTGACTCTTACAACATGCTTTTGGGTAGGCAGTGGGTCAATTCTTGTTTTCACCCACAATAGGGCTCCGGAACCCATATGGGGAAAAAAACTGTCCCTTCTGCTTTGACCTTATCACTAGGAAAAAACCATTTGTCTGACTTATGGGTTTTTGATGACATGAAGTGTTTGGGCAGTGGCCACCAGATCTATATAATAGCTCTGGTATTTTCTGCAGCTGTACAGTGTGTAGAATTGTGGTTATGTCTATATTTAAAACAAAAACTGAAACATTTTTATGGGTGGAAAAAAAAAAGGCTTTTTTTTTTACTGTGAAGTCATTGTGATATTATAATAACGACATAATGACATCACTTTGCTCTGCCTGGATGTCTCAACAAAAGCCCAGTTTTCACTGTCAAAAAAAAAAAGTTTCAATTCTTTACTCTGTTCATATTTTATGCCTATTTGCCTTCACAAATTAAATTACTTCTGCACAAAATATGACTTGATGTAAGCAAAATTTTGAATGTTGAATATATATACTAGCAGTACCCGCCACCCTCTGCTGAGGCTCAGTCCGGCAAAATAAAATAAAAATTAAAAAAAAAGAACACACACGTGTCTAATATGGTAAATATCACAATCATTGTCTGCACAGATACACAGACAGTTTGATTTTCTGACTCTGGAACACACAGCATATAAGTGTCTTTATAGTAGTGGTGGTTTAAATTGTATTATTAGGACTTAAAAGGATAATTTTTTTTTGGTACTACATGCTAAAGTTTTTTTTTATTCAATGGCTGAAAGTAAAGCTTACTACTGTATTTCTAAAAGACCGACAGACTCACACACAAAAAAACAAAAAAATATGAGAATAGCAGAGGAAGGGTTATTAAAATATAAAAAAATTAGAACTTTAAAATAATGTTTTAAGCTCAATTAAAATCATGATTTAAGCTCTCTCAGTATTGCTTTATGCAGGTCTGAGGTCAACAGTCAAAGGTCGTCCACCAGCGGAAATTAAAACAATTCTGGGCTGGCAACGAAACAAAAATCTATGTGATTGTTGCTGCGGCTATGTAGTACGTGGTTTGTGCGACACTCTTAAATAAAAACATGCGCACAGTCAAATACAACTTTGTGTGAAAATTTGAAAGAAATCGGTGAAGAACTTTTGGAGATTAGCTTTCGGAGATTGGCTGTTACAACCAAAGGAAATTTACGTTTCTATTAATTCATATATAAATCACTATTTCTGACAGCTGCGAAGAAGCTGTGGCCCTCATGCTTGTCTGTCTATTCGGTAATATAGGGGTTCGACCCCTTGATTTTTATTTTAAAAACTCATCTAGACTCATATTTTTTTTTTTTTTTGCTTCTTCTCTTCCCCGAGTTTACTAGGTTTAGGTTTCAGAGAATTATAAGGATGATGATTTTTTTTTTAAAGGAATTTGGAAAAAGAATCCTTTTTTAGGATTCCTACGACACAAAATGGTTAAATAACGTGATGGAAGGTGTGTATTGAACCATCTAATCTCTTATTCTAAACTTGAACTGTTCTTGACTGGTTGAAAATGTACAGCTAAACTCTTTTGTGAATGAGTTAATCCTGTGACAACTCTCTTTAGCCATCTTGTGTGTTTGGTAAATAACAAAGAGCCAGTTACATATCATATATTGCATGGAAATGAAAGGGTTAAACAGGAAATGAAAAGACATAAATGCAAGGACCTGGTTACCTTATTTAGTAAAGTGTTTCTTTAGTTCTATCTTAAGATAAAACGGTAAAGTAATGATGAGTTGCATTCTTTGTTGGCTCTCGAATCATACTTTGGTTTATAATAATTCTCCCCATTATCAACTCCTTTTACTCTGTGTTAACCCATGATTTTGTTTGCGTGTGTGGCCAAGATTTACTAGTAAATCAATGAACTAATATAAAAGCCACCTCCAACAACCCATATTACCATGACCATCATGGGATCATTTCAAGATTTTAATGGTCAGTAAAAAGCAAACAGAATCATAAAAGATGAAAGAAGAAACAACCTGTGACAGCCAAAAGCAATCAGCCTGTATCTGTGATTGACAGCTACTGTAGCTGCATTGTTGACTTCCTGAGCCCAAACTCCATGAGCACTCTTGAAAGACAAAATAATCAATTACTGTTTGCAAACAAAAGCATGGTCATAGAAAAACTGACGGCATTAAAATAACATTTTCTAAATACATACGATTTAATTTAATGCCCCCGGTCGGGTTTTTTATGAGTTAATAATGAAAACAGAAATATGAAATTGTGCATGCTTCAAATTTGAAATGACAATACTGTATGTAGGAAATGGCAACTCATTCAGACAACAAAGAATACCTGCACTAATCTGTTACAATATGTGGAAAGGACATTGTGTGTTACAAACAGTGAATTGTCAAATATATCATCATCATCATCATCAGTTCTCGTTATGCCTAGTGGCACATGAGGCTTCAGAGAGGACTTTCCATGCTTTCCTATCCTGTCAAATATATGAGTGTGGAAAAAGAAACTGAGATGAACATTAATTGATGTTTGTGTGCAGTGTATCGAATCTGTGCACTGTCTTTCACAGGGTTCAGAGAGATACATTTTCAGAAAGTGGAAAGATGAGCCTGATGATATAGTTCACGCTGTGAAGCAATGTCATGCGAACAGGGACAAAAATATGATTCGGGCAAAGTGTACACACTCTTCTGCTCACTGGTAATAGCTCAAGTAGAGGATTACATAAAAAGTGAGTATGTGTAAATGACATAATGAGTTATATTGTCAGTCATCTTCTTCAGGTTTGGTGAGTGTCAAGACATATTATTGTTAAAAAACCACTACACAAATTTGCTCGCATAAAATAAAACTATAAAAATGTGGTATATTGTCAGTCATCTTCTTCAGGTTTGGTGAGTGTCAAGACATATTATTGTTAAAAAACCACTACACAAATTTGCTCGCATAAAATACAACTATACAAATGTGCAAGCAGGAAATCACCAAAATGCCATTTTAAATCCTGTATATATTTTTTCTGCATTAACCTTTAAAAGCATGGTTGGCGCAATGTATTGTGATTTTCAGCTAGTATGTGATATCTGTGCCTTTCAGCCCAAAACATCTTATTTCAACAAGCCTGAATTAATCCGTCTCCTTTTATGACCTGTTTGTTGAGGAGCAGTGGGTTGTCCCCCCCCCCCCCCCCCCCCCCCCCAAATGAGGCGTAAAAACCAACTGAAGAAAATAAATTCCTGTACATACTGACAATCCAGTGTATGTCAAAGATAACCATCGACCAAGATACACAAAGAGACAGACTACAGTTCATTTGAAAAAAAAAAAAACGAAAAAAAAACATAAGATCAACAATAAAGTACTTCTTTCTTCTGTTGTCAACATCTGCTTTGTGATGCTAGGTGTTACATTTAACATAAGATGAAAGGAAGCAGAACCCAGGGCACCCTCTGTTGACTGGTATGTGATGATGTTGTGAACTCTCAGATTGCCAGTGATTCTTAAATCCATGTTCTTCTAGATCTACCTCTGTCTCTTTATGATTCCATTTTCATGTTGCCCTTCTCGTTGGCATTCACTTTCACTAGGTGGCCAAACCATTTCTGTTTGTTTCTCAATTAATTTTACAATGGGAATTGTTCCAAACAGTTCTTCTAATCTGTTCATTTCTCATATGATCTCAACTTGTTTTGTTATATAGGTAGCTCAGCCAGGGCACATTTGGTTGTTTAGTATGCTGCAAAGTCTCAGGCAGCCATCAATCCATCTTCTTCTAGATCACCCTCTGCCCCCTGATGGTTCCATTTTCATGTTGCTCTTCCCGCCGGCATCAGTGGATTAATTCTCACTAGGTCGCCAAACAATTTCAGTTGTTTTCCAATGAATCTGACTATGGGTCCTGTCCCAAACAGTTCTAATTGCTCAGTTTTCACATGATCTTGTCTTGTTTTGTTCTCAAACATTCCATTTCACAACTCAATGAATCTGACAATGGGTATTGCCCCGAACAGTTCTATTTGCTCAGTTTTCACGTGATCACATCATGTTTTGTTCTCAAACATTTCACAACACAACAAAGCAACTAGCAAGAGGGATGGTCAACTTGACAGATATGAAAGATTTCACATGTGCATAACAAGAGAAACAAGCATCTAGGAGTCATCGTTCCAGTCTCTCACACAAAGTGATTTAGTTGTTAGATAAAGTATTGCACATGACAAAGTCACAAAAACAGAATACAGGACATAGTGCACTCACTGTTTTCTCTCCTCTACTGGATGGGGGTATGACGAATACAGCTCTGCCTGAAGACAAGACCATGCTGTAACCACCAAGTGTTGGACTGTACTCCATCTCAACCACATGGCTATCACTATGGGACAGTCTTGCGGCTGGGGAAAAAAATTATTGGCTTGGGCGCATTAAAAAAATAATTAATAATTATGAGAAACACTGTTTTTTAATAATAATTAGAAATTGATTTGTAGAAATATGTCAGTGAACAGATATTTTTCTAATATAAAATATAAATAACATCACAGTTGTGTAAAAAATAAAAAGTACTTACTTCTAATATACTATGTTATTGCTTCATTAAGTTATATGGCAGATCTCTTCTTTGCCATAAACTCTTCAACGAATAGCAAAATCAGGTAATAAAAATGTATTTCAATTATGAAATAATGCATTAATATCCATGAGAGATACTGATTAATACAACTTTTCAATTAATATATAAAGGGGATATTGCTCTTAAAAACCAAAATATTGCAATTTTGAAAGACAAAGAAAACAAAATGAGTGGAAGTTATATAAAAGTAAAAGCTGTGAGTATGAGCATGCATAAACTGTGTCATGAAATACCCCCCCCCCCCCCCTTTTTCCCCAAAATAGATTCTTGGCAGCAAAATACTATTTGTATCAGAAAAAAAAAGACAGTCAGGGAATATAATCATTACTAAGAAATGCAGAGATCTGTTGCTATTGACACACACAGCATTAAGAAGAGCAAACAACTGGCATCACTGATATCCCATATGGGTTCTGGGGCTCCATTATGAGGAGGGAAAGGAAATAACAGCTACACTGCCTCCAACAAGCAAGTTGTAAAAGATGATTAACTAGGAGTTTTGCTGAAATCTGATGTGTTGTGGGAGGGAGAAGCGCACAGATATCACAGCCTAGTTGTAAACCACAACATAACATACCTACTGCCTTGTTAGGGGGAAATGAAGAATAGGAAGAAGACTGACATAATATGATGAAGACATATAAGTGGTGACTAGCAGTAGGAATTATCAACTTGAGAGATAAGAAAGACTCCACATGTGCTTAGCATGGAGTCATCACTCCAGTCTCCATCACAAAGTCTTCTGATTTGCATTCACAGGCTGCAAACTCCCACAGAAAGTTCTGGTTGTCCGTCCACTTCTGGACTTTATTCCTGTTCCAGAACTTGAATCTTGTGTGTGCATCTGTTTTACACATCTTCTTATCTGTCTTCAGAGGGAAAAATTCCCAATTAGTCACCTTTTCCAACATGCCTGGTATGGAAGCTTTGGGTCTACTCACCCCCCCCCCCCCCCCCCAAGATGGGGGCCCCATAAGCCAAACGGGGATACACACAAAGTGTTCTGGGTTCTGATTAGTGGCAAGGCAAGGATTTTTTTATTTATCACCATCATCATGCAGCACGTCCTTTACAGTTCTTTAGGGCTGTAAAGGCAGGAGAACTGGAGGAGAAAAGAGGCAGAGCGAAACCCAGAGAGAAAATGCTGGTCAGTTTAACATGGCATGGAAAATCATCTGTGTCAGAACTGATTACAAGTATATGAGACATGTCATGGACTATTTTAGAAAAAAACAGAATAAGAAGACTGACCACTGTGTGGACAAGCAGAAGAAGACTGACCACTGTGTGGACAAGTAGACTGTATCCTCCCTCATCCTTATTAAAACCCCACTGACATACTCCAGTAGTAGCATTAAGTCCCATAATGACAGCTTCTCCCATTTAACTGTGCATCTAACAAAGACAAGGTGGCTCTAACCACCCCCCCCCCCTCTTTCTCTCTCTCTCTCTCTCTCTCTCTCTCTCTCTCTCTCTCTCTCTCTCTCTCTCTCTCTCTCTCTCTCTCTCTCTCTCTCTCTCTCTCTCTCTCTCTCTCTCTCATGTATGTGTGTGCATAAGCATGTGCATGTCTGTGTGTGTGCAGAAAAGGGGGTGTTGGAGGGGAGAAGAGCTTGTGTTTCTCACTGATCCTGACAGCTAGGCTGACGGTAGTGTCGCTAATAGAAGGCACTTCCCAAACCAGACTGATAACAGGGTAGAGAACAGAGATACCCTAGCCCTCCAGTTTGGAAGCTTCAGGGTGAGGCCAACACCCCCACTTCTGTAAAATCCTTATTAATTAATGAAACAGATACCTAAGCCTTGAAATCAGACGTATTTAAATGGACAATGACCCTGTAATATTAACTCCTTCAAAACCAGGAAATGCAGTAAGTGTTTATTGGTCGCCCTGTGCATTTTATACTTATTTAAACTTTCTCTCTGTCCCATGCTGTTACCACTTTAGAGCCACATACATGTGGGTGAGAGGCAAATAACGTAACATTCGTAAGTGACAGAATAAATGTAAGCAACAGCTGTCTGGCTTAGAAATGAGTTAATCATTAAAAGAGTTGGTTCATAAAACAGTTGTCTGGGACTGAAAGAGTTAACAGACCAAGAAGACAGTGGAGAGAGAATATACAGGCAGACCTACAAACACATGAGTCATCAAATGAAAAGAGAAGACCAATGGCACAGATGAAGGGAGGTGGGTGATGATGACAGCAATGACCCTCAATGTCTTAGAATGCAGAAAAAAAGAAAGAAAACAATAGCAAACCTCTAAACTGTTGAAGGTCAGCCGATACAGGTATGTCTTTGAAGTGCAGAGTGGCTTTCTCATTCTTATTCCCAGTCCACCTGAGCCTGTTGAGGCAACCATCATCAGTGGCCACCACAAGCTCATCTCTCACAGACAGAAAGCTGGAATCATCAAAACAGATCTGTGACCTTCAACCAAACACAGCTGAGAAATTAAGTAAGGCCCATGGTTAGGTTTTCCCTGATAATGGTTCCCTGCTTTCTTTTCCCTTCCGGTGTCCATATGAGGGCTTGATGGCTGTCTGGTCTTACCCATTCTGAGTGCATGGCTGATGTAGTTCCAGCGGCACTTTCTCATAAAATTTGATACATTATCTCGCTTGGTCTCTTGTCTTTTTTGCGTACTGGATCTGAAATCTGTCCAGTGGAGATTTATTCTTCTTCTAAGACACGTGTTCTCAAAATTGTCTAATTTTTTCATCTAGAGCTACCATTGCTGTCCAACTCTGGCATCCATAAGTTAGTTTTGTGTGTTTGCTGAATGTCTTTGACTTCTGGATGTTTGATAGTTTCATAGTTTTTAAAGGCACTAGATGCCACTGTGATTCTAGATGATATTTCTGGTGCTGTTCTCTATAGGTGTCATCTTACTCCCTAGGTATGTAAAGCTGTTGACTTCTTCAAGAATGTGACTGTTTAGTTTGATGATGTCACATCATATCTTTCCTATAGTTGTATGTACATTTTTATGTAATTAGTGGAGATTTAGTAAATAACTGTCAGATACTCTTGCTGTAATCATAACATATGTCTTAGAAACCACATCATGATGTCTTAATAAAGCTGTTGCTTTTGTCCATTCACATTTTAGGATTCACTCCCATACAGCATAATAAATTCAATATAACATTTCAGTATTCCCTTACATATTCAATATAATATTTCATTATTCCCTGTCTGACATTCAATGAAATGGATGACATGCATTGAACTGTTAGTCTGGAATTTAAAAAATAAGCAACAGTCACAAGCACACGAACAACACAATACAAGCACAGCAACAACACACAATACTTAATCAACTGACCATGATATATGTGACTGCAGACTGACAGAGGCCATGTAGGTAAGTTTGATAGCAGGAACACTGTCACTGTCCAAGATCCCATTGATGTTAATTTTTGGTGACAAGGGCATTCTGTAAGTTCCATATACATACAGTTAGTAAAACAGTGACAAAGAATATCGTTATAAACAAAAGGGAACAAACAGTATCAAATACAGAAGTTCCTCAGAGACTAGAAATGAAATTATAGTTGTTGAATGAAATAACAAGAGAGACAAATGAAACAGCTCAGCCATATAGAACAAATTATGATACTCTTATAAAACTACACTAGAGGGAAAATTTAAAAGCAAGTGAACAAAAGGCAGACAGTGATACAAGTTGGATGATAACATCAAGAGATAAGCCACCAACAATTTCAGTGTGCATCTAGGGTGAAAGACATGTCGGAGACCCATGCAGCCACCAATCTTCATTGTGAAGATGGTACTCAACTGATTGAATAACTAAGTTGCTATCAGCGTCAATGTGTGCCAGATGCTTGCCAGATGGTGTTGGTATTTACGTCTCTCAACAAATTTTAGTTTTTGGTATTCTAGATCAACTTTATTTGTTCTTCTGTATGACTATTAAAAAAGTAGTGCTCCCCGACAGACATATAAACACACACACACACACACACACCACATATATATATATATATATATATATATATATATATATATATATATATTTATTTATTTATTTATTTATTTATTTATATATTTATATATATATATATATATATATATATATATATATATATATATATATATATATATATATATATATATATATATATATATATATATATATCTATATATATATATATATATATATTTATTTATTTATTTATTTATTTATGAGTGTGTATATATATCACTATTTTCAGTGACCAAGAGGTACACAAGAGCTGACACAGTGTATAACATCCAGTTCCTTATAATTTATGTAAACTTTCAAAATTATGAGATGAGTATTCTCATTTTATGTTCTAATTAGTCAAACTGTGCATGTTCAAGACAAAAATAACTCCAAAATAAAAGGTCTTCTTCATCCGTGACCAGTTGGCCTAATGACTGGCCAATGGGCAACTCTGCGTCAGTCGCAAAGTGGTTAGGGTCTTGAAATCAACACTGAAAGAGTCTTGTTCAGGGCTGTTTGATAGTGAGCAGCTTTAAGCCATTGAATCTGGCACAAGAACACACAGACACAATTATAACCAAAAGCTCTTTTTTTTTTTTTAAAGGAGCTGTTTAAATGTGGCAATATTCTTTTCATCAACAAGTCAAGTCAGATCTTCCTCTCTTTCTCCGTTTATTTACCTCAGCATGTTTATTTCTTATGGACATACTGTAGGCAGCCACCAGTCTTAAGGCAAAATAATGTACATACAATCCTTGTTTATTATATATGTTTATTTCTTATGAACATATTGTAGGCAGCCGCCAGTCTTTAAGCAGAAAAATGTACATACAATCCTTGTTTTTTATATATGTTTATTTCTTATTAACATATTGTAGGCAGCCGCCAGTCTTTAAGCAGAAAAATGTACATACAATCCTTGTTTATTATATATGTTTATTTCTTATTAACATATTGTAGGCAACCGCCAGTCTTTAAGCAGAAAAATTTACATACAATCCTTGTTTTTTATATATGTTTATTTCTTATGAACATATTGCAGGCAGCCGCCAGTCTTTAAGCAGAAAAATGTACATACAATCCTTGTTTATTATATATGTTTATTTCTTATTAACATATTGTAGGCAGCCGCCAGTCTTTAGGCAGACAAATGTACATACAATCCTTGTTTATTACATATGTTTATTTCTTATGGACATACTGTAGGCAACCGTCAGTCCCTAGGCACCATAGAGCTGTGCCACTGATTCTGGGAACAGCCAGCTCCTGCTATGACTGTAAAGTGGAATGCACGAGTGGCAGACTCTGCCACTTAAGAACCATAAAAATGTTGATACTCTTTTATACTAAGACTGGTTTTCTCTCAGACACCTCATCGCTACAGCTAACTGTGTTAGCCTCTTGCAAAGTGTCTGTGTCAATGCTGGTATCTTTCAGGTCATGTTTGCATATGAGCTGACAGCAAAGCTTTGGCTTTCCTGCAGATCTTGTCTTTGTTTCAAGTTCTCCATACAGTAGCCTTTTTCAATACAACCGTCCTCCATGGGGGAGACACGCCCTAACTAGCACAGGTAACCTTGCTTTAGTAGAGAGTTCACGGCATTCCTAATTTTCTTAGAACACATTCATTGGGGACACAGTTTTGCCATGATTTACCAAGAATGAGTCTCAAACGACCTTCATTTGAAAGGTATTCAGTGTTTTTCTTACTTGAGGAGAATAGTCCTGGTTTTGCTGTTATACAGAGTGGCAAGCTCAGGACACAGGCTTCATAAACTTTCCTTTTCATTTCATCAATGAGCTTTTTGTTCAACCACACTCAGGTAAATTTGGAAAACATGATAACATACACAGAGACAAGAACAGCTCTAAGTTTACTATCACACTGTTACTACTGTCAGTATTTACCACTATTTAGGTCCATGTAGATGTAGGGTCGTGAGCCTAAAAATTTAGGACTGCATGGCTAGTGCTGTTGCCATGGATTGTGCAGGTTAGGATGATTAATTGTGTTCCCGACAGAAAAACTCCACCATCTAAGTTTACATAATAATCAAAAGCTTAAACTGACGGGGAACCCCAGAGGAACGTCATATATTAATATTCCTTTAGAAGATTCTTTGCAAAATTATTCTTCCATCATGATCATTTGGAAAGACTGTGTTTCTTACCAATTCCACTGCCTCAGGAATTCTCATGTCCAAAATGATCTGGTAGACCCCTCCCTCTTCTTCTAGGACCCTAGTCTTCCAACTGTTCTTTCTAATCCACTGCAGCATATAAAATGGTCAAAGTATTTCAGTTTTTGAACATGATGCTGTTCTTCTTCTTTTTAGCATGTCCCAACTCTGAAGGAAATAACCCTGATTAGTTGTCTCCTATGACATGCTTGTTAGAGGAGCAGTTGGTGTATTCTTTGCTCAAGGAAGTGGAGCTCCGGAACCCACATGGGGAAAGATGCTGTTGATCAGCAAGTTATCTTCAGTGTTTAGATCTTGTAGAAATTTTCTTCTTCCTTAAATAGTATGAGACCTACCATTACATATAATTATTATAACTAAACTAAGGATTTAGATACAACAGATTAATGAAACAACTGTTTGCCATGGGAAAACTTCTGATCTGAAAAATTCAGTGTCTAAATTAGACAATGATTATTGACGTGTTGCTTGGTACATAAAGAGCTTAGTATGTTTTCATAACAAATCAAACAGATACATTCTTGGCCCCCCTAAACAAGTATTTTAGCATTATCTTATGATATCCTCTTCTTCTTTGTTATCTGGCTGTAAGCTCCAGCAAAAAAGTCCTGGTTGCTCATCTTTAGATTTGTGCCAGGGCCTGAGTTTTGCGTGTACATCCGTTTTACTGGTTTATTTGTGTGCAGCTGGTTGTTCCTTGCCTCTCAGGCATATGAACTCTGACTTTGTAGGAAGCCCCCAATTAGTCGACTCCTACGACATGCTTGCTGGGAAGGCAATGAGTCTATTTTTGTTTTCCCCATAATGGGACCCCAGAACCCACATAGGGATTTATGATAAGGGCTGTACCGAATAGTGGTTTTCACTATTTGGCCGAATACCAATAGCTGGACCAACTATTTGGCAAAATACGAAAACGAATACGAATAGTGAATCATCATCATCAAGTGCTTTGCCGACTGGCATGGGCGATTATGCCTCGCCACAATCTGCGATCCCCTGCAGCATGTATTAGTTTGTGTGCTGACACATCTCCATTCCATGCAACAAGATTGTCAAGAATCTTCTCTCCTTGTCTTTGTCTATCCCTCCTTCCACATATCTTTCCACTGGTCACCACATGTTCCATTTTCCCTCATCTTATAACATGGCAGAAAAATGATGACTGTCTTCTTCTGATGTCTCTGAGTAGTTGTCTTCGGGCTCCCGCCTCTATCAAAACCTCTTGGTTGTACTGTTCTGTAAAACCACATCTCTGAGGCTTTAAGAAATTGTTTGGCCTGCCTACCGATTGTCCAGGACTTACAGCCATATGATAAAACTGGATGTATGTAGCAGGGAAGAATTCTTTTTCTAACCTTCAATGACAAAGATATATTGCATAAGATGTTCTTCATTTAAAAAAATGCAGTTTTTTGCCTATCCTATTCTGTTTCTTTTTTCAGTAATGCATCTTCCATCTAATGTTATCCATGTGCCCAGATACTCAAATTTCTGTACTTGTCCCAAAATAAAACCATTGACTTTTATTACACATTTAGGAATAATTTTTTTCTTTGATACCACCATTATTTCTGTCTTCCCACTATTCAAACTGAGGCCCATTCTTCCACTTTTGTGTATAAAACAGATCTAAAAAAAACACATACATAACGTCAAATGTACGCTGAAATTTTACTTCACAAAATGTAGTACAGAATAGTTAACATTTAAAAACATTTCATGTTTTGCATCCTTCAGTCAGTCAGCCTGTGGTACCTAATACCTAGGAATGAAAGCATTCTTAGTTTTATAACAAGTAACTAAACTTGTAAATTGTCACTGACAGCTTAGTTAATCCATAAAGGTGGCATTAGCTTTCAAAAAGGAAAAAAAAACATCCATGTTGTTAGCATTAAGGCAGCTTCTTGTCTCACTGAATTTATTTCCAGCTGTACTAAACAGACATTCACTTGGTACGCTCGTAGGTGGTGCACAATGATAACGCTTGACAGTATGAACCAAGGTGGGAAATCTTGATATGTTTATTTTCCACCAGTCCAGAAACGGGTGTAAGGTAACCACTATTCATATTTGGCCCGACCGCAACTATTCGGCCGAATACCGAATAGTAATTAGGTCCACTATTCGGCCCCAAAGTGCATACGAAGCTAATATTCGGTACAGCCCTAATTATGATATCTAAAAAAACAAGTCATATGTTGAAAGATATCACTTTTAGGAATGGCATTCTTCTTCCTCTTCTCA